CTCTGTACGATCTGTATGAAGAACATATCATATGGAAAGCTGGACTGGATTCAGAAGGAGGAGGAGTAAAAATGGCGAAAGAAACATCAATAATTTAAGATATGCTGATGATACCATCTTACTGGCAGAAAGCTGTAGTGACTTGAAATTACTCTTGATAAAGGGGAACAGACGAAGTGCCAAAGCAGGACTGCAGCTGAACATTAAGAAGACAAAAAAACAGAACTATAGAAGAATTACACAACTTGGCAATGAAGAAAGTGAAATTGTTAAAGATACTTTGCAAATCTTGGTTTATTCATTAACCCAAATGGATACTGCAGCCAAAAAATTAAAAGAAGACTGAGAGAGAAAGCAAAAACTATCATCAAGTGTAAAGATGTGTCCCTGTATGACTCTGTTAACCCAAATGGATACTGCAGCCAAAAAAAAATAAAAGACTGAGACTCAGAGGAAGCAAAAACAATCATCAAGTGTGAAGATGTGTCCCTGTATGACTCTATTGTATTCCTAATCACTATGTCTGGATATGAACGCTGGACAGTGAAGAAAGCAGACAGAAAAAAGACAGGATAGCTTTGTGGATACAGTATTCCTAATCACTATGTCTGGATATGAACGCTGGACAGTGAAGAAAGCAAACAGAAAAAAGACAGGAAAAATATGGTATTAGCAGAGAGCTTTGTGGATATCATGGACCACCAGAAAGAGAAAACAAATGAGTCCTAGATCAAATCAAGCTTGAACCTTTTCAGTGTGCAATCTTTGTGCCTGTAAACAACACAACATAAGCAACAAGTAAAAACTGATTGCACTGTTAAAAGAAAAAGTAAGAGAGATTTCAATTACCCTGATATTTGCTAGGAGGCAAATTCTTCCAGATATGGCTTTCCCAAGAAATTCCTAGATAGAACATAAGCAACAAGTAAAAACTGATTGCACTGTTAAAAGAAAAAGTAAGAGAGATTTCAATTACCCTGATATTTGCTAGGAGGCAAATTCTGCCAGATATGGCTTTCCCAATAAATTCCTAAATTGTATTACTGATAGTTTTCTCCTAGAAAAAGTGAAGGAAGAAAGGATTAGCTTAGCTATCCTTGACTTGGTTCTAACCAATAGGAATGACTTGGTGGATTAAATGGATGTAAGAGGAACTCTAGGGGAAACTGGCCAAATTACCCTTGAGGTTTTTTTTTAATTTCAAAAGAAGTAAAAGCTGGATTTTAGGAAAGCAGATTTTAATAAACACAGAACAATGAGAGGTAAGGTCCCATGGCAGCTTGAAGAGCGGGATGAGCGCCGCCCCCTAGAGTCGGACACGACTGGACAAAAATTGTCAAGGGGAACCTTTACTATTACTGATAGTTTTCTTCTATAAAAAGTGAAGGAAGAAAGTAGAGGATTAGCTATCCTTGACTTGGTTCTAACCAATAGGAATGACTTGGTGGATGAAATGGATGTAAGAGGAACTCTAGGGGAAACTGGCCAAATTACCCTTGAGGTTTTTTTTTAATTTCAAAAGAAGTAAAAGCTGGATTTTAGGAAAGCAGATTTTAATAAACACAGAACAATGAGAGGTAAGGTCCCATGGCAGGGGATCCTGACATGAAAAGGAGTCAAGATGGGTAGGAATTTCTTTAAAAAACAAAAGAAAAGAAAAGAAAAACAAAAAAGCACAACTGCAAACAGCTGGGTGAAGTGCCTCGTGACTGGTCGAGGGGTAATATTGTCCTCACTTTCAGTAAGGGCAAAAAGAAGGGCCCTGAGAACTACAGACTAGTCAGCTTGACATCAATCCCAGGAAAATTCAGACTAGTCAGCCTGACATCAATCCCAGGAAAATACTGGTGCAGATGATAAAGTGGTCACTCTGCAAGCACCTTGAAAACAATACAGCTATAACTAGAAGAAACCAAAATTTACCAAGAACAAATGCTGTCAGACTACCCTGATCATATTTTTATCAGGTAACCCTCCCTGGCAGGGAGAGTGAGAATGCTGTAGACATAATATATCTTAACTTCAGCAAAGCTTTTGACAAAGTGCCACATAATGTTCTGATCACCAAACTAAGTGTGGGCTGGGAGTGTTTATCAGTGGCTTGTTCTTAAACTGAGAGGAGGTAACAAGTGGGGTACCATAAGACTCAGTCCTTGGCCCAGTGCTCCAACTTTTTTATTAATGACTTGGAAAAAGAGGGCACAGGGAATGCTTGGATGTGTGGATGATAGAAAATTGGGCAGAACAACTAATACCTTGGCAGACAGGAACACAATTCAAAAAGTGCTTGAGCACTGAAATTTAACAGGGATAAGTGCAAAGGTCTACGCTTAGGGGCAAAAAACAAATGCACAGTTATAAGACAAATGGCTCAAGATCTTGGAATTGTTGCAGATCACAAGCTGAATATGAGCCAACAATGTGAGGTGACTCCAAAAGGCAAATGCTATTTTAGGTTGCATTAACAGATGGATTATTGGGAGGAAAGTGATGGCAAACCTAGACAGCATCTTAAAAAGCAGAGACATCACCTTGCCGAGAAAAGTCCATATAGTCAAATCTATGGTTTTTCCAGCAACGATGTATGGAAGTGAGAGCTGGACCATAAAGAAAGCAGACCGCCGAAGAATTGATTCCTTTGAATTGTGGTGCTGGAGGAGACTCTTGAGAGTCCCCTGGACTGCAAGAACAAACCTATCAATTCTAAAGGAAATCAACCCTGAGTGCTCACTGGAAGGACATATCCTGAAGCTGAGGCTCCAGTACTTTGGCCATCTGATGAGAAGACTCCTTGGAAAAGACTTTGATGTTAGGAAAGTGTGAAGGCAAGAGGAGAAGGGGACAACACAGGATGAGATGGTTGGACAGTGTCTGCGAAGTGACCAACATGAATTTGACCCAACTCCGGGAGGGAGTGGAAGACAGGAGGGCCTGGCGTGCTCTGGTCCATGGGGTCACGAAGAGTTGGACATGACTTAACGATTAAACAACAACAACAACAACAACAACAACAACAACAACAACAACAACAACAGATGGATAGTCTCCAAATCCTGTGAAATACTAGTTCCCTTCTCTTTGGTACTGGTTAGGGCTCATCAAGAGTAGTTTTAAGAATGCCAACAAACTGGAGCAAGTTCAGAGGAGGGCAACAAAGATGATCAGGAGACTGGAAACCAAGCCCTGTGAGGAAAGACGAAAAGAACTGGCCATGTTTAACCTTGAGAAAAGAAGAATGAGGAAAGATGTGACACTACTCTTCAAAGGCATGAAAGGTTATTATGCAGAAGAGCGGCAGGATCAGTCATCTGAGAGTGCAGGATATGTATGCTTCTAGAAGGAAAAACATACAACAAACTGAGATTTACTCTGGACACATCCTGATAAGACAAAATTCACCAGAGAAGCCAACAATGCTCAGATAAGTGGAAGGCAACAGGAAAAGAGAAATATCATGCATGAGATAGATCGACTCAATAAAGGAAGCCATGGCCTTAATGATAGCTCACCTTAGAGGTCACTCATTCATAGGGTTGCCGTAAGTCAGAGATGACTTAATGGCACAGAATAGCAAGAATAACAAAATGTTATAAAAGTGGCACAGGAGGGCATGACCTTTCAAGTTCTTTAGAACTCTTGAACACGGACAGCCACAGGGAGAAGACTACCTCTTCCCGTAGGACCACTGCCCAGGAATTATGATGGAATGTGACATTGCAATATGTGAAGGGAGTGAGGCTGGCCACTCCTAAGCTCTATGCACAGGGCAGAAAGGACTTCTATGCAAATTTGGCTACACGGACAAGAGTCTCTACCACTATCTACTGATGTCTGCATGAGTAGAACCAAATACACAGTTCTGGTACCTAACTAGATTATTCAGTTGAGGGTGGCAATAAACACATTTCACACTGTTCCTCTTCTCCATTCATCTCTTTGTTCTTTCCTTTTTCACTCAATCTCCTGGGGGGGGAATGACCCCCAGGGCATACACTAATGGTCTTTCTCTTTCTCTCTCTCCCAGCCTAACTGCTATGAGAAGAGAACTGGGGGGTGAGTAGGACAGGAGAGATTGGGGCACTCTGCAACACATTGGAGGGGGGAAGGAGAAAGGGTTAAACCTTTGTTCCCTAGCTATTGTGAAAATTGTCCCCTGCATGCCAACCAAGGTATGAAAGAGACCCATCCATTCAGCCCAGGTGTTCTTGTGAAGGGGGAGGGGACCAAAGATCCAGGGCCATGGGAAATACATCCAGACTCCAGAGGCCCAGCTTCTGGGCCAGGGTGCCAAGGTTGTCCTGCCCTGCGTTGTCCCAGAGGCGCTGGGGAACGTGATGTTGCAACTGTGGCGGGACCAGCTCCCTTGGCAAAATCTGGCTCCAGGGGCTTCTCCCTCAGGGAAGGAGGCTGCCTCAGGCTCCAGGGGCTCTCCATAGAAAAGCCTGGGCTGAAAGATGATGGCTCAACTGCATCCAGCACCTCCACTCAGGGTCTCCTCCTGAGGTGGGCAGCCAGCCGCCTGCCATTGGAAAGCGCTGCTGATGGCTCCCGTTGAAATCACCAAGAGCTCAAAGCTGCCGGCACACACACACACACACACATACACCTAAACATCACAAAACATGCCGCACCACACGTCTCACACAGGGCAGGTTACACGCGCGCTTGTGCAGGATGAGCACACACACACACACACACACCCCCCCCCCCCCCCCCCCCCAGCGCACTGCCAAGCTAGGAACGGCGGCGTGTGCCGTGTGTGTGTGTGTTACATACACCTCGCTCTATATAATGACGGCACCGGCAAGGTTTTCTCATCACGCGCGTGTGCGCTCGAGCCCAGGAAGGGAAAGGCCTCCTGACCCACTTTGCCTGCAAAAGTAACTGCCGGTCGTTGCCACCCGGGCGGCGGGGGCCACCACTCCTCCTCTCGCGCTGCCCTATCAGGCGAGGCAAAAGGGGCGGCCCGTCTTCCGCGCCGCCGCCGGGCACATGGCCGGCCACGCAGGAGGGATGCGAAGTGTCACGCCGCCGCGGAAGCAACCGCAGGCTCAGCACCGCCATCCAACAGCAGATTGCTGGCAGCCAATGCCGAGGACGCTTTGAAGTGGCACCAAATTCCTCCCAGCCAATAGGAGCCCTCCGCTCAGTGCCAAGGTATCATCCTCTCCTTCGCTCTCTCTCTCCCCCCCTCTTCCCGGCCACTTTAACGTCACCGGCAACCAACCTCCCGGCAGCAGCAGCAGCAGCAGCAGCAGCGAGGCAGCCTCTGGCAGCGTGAGAGCAAAGTTGCGCCACGCATCTGGATCTTGAGCGGGGAGTGGCCCCGTCCTCGTCGGAGGCTCCTGCCTTTAATGTGATTTCGTTATATTTATTTGTTTATTTATTTGAGAGAAGCGGGAAAGGGGGGGAGCTCATCACTGATGGGTTACTAAAGTTCACGGCGAAGGAAGCTTAAATACCTTTGCGGAAGGCTCCGGCCGCAAAACAGCCCAGCCTGCTGCGGGATCTGGAGCATCACCGAAGTTGCGGCGGCGGCGAGATTCTCCTCTCTGACTCAGGGGCGGCCGCGGCTCGGATCACCACCGGCAAAGGGAAAGGCGGAGCGAGCCTTCCGTCCTAGCGGCAAGAGCGCCATCAGGGAGCCCGGCAGCTTCCCGGGCCGCTTCGCAAGCGCAAGGGAGCATCCGAAGGAGCCGCTCGCGATGCCCGCCCAGCTGTCCCCGATGGAGGTAAGGAAGGCGATGCCTCGGTTCTCGAGCCGGTCTCTCGCGCTCTGCGCCAAGGCGGGCGCCGAGGAGAGCCCCTGGGGGGGGCGACGAGTCGCGTTGGGAAATAATCCAGCCCCCATCTCCCTCCCCCCCCGCAAGGACGTAGGCGATTGGAGGTGCCCACGTTGCCGGGGCCGCCTTGGACGAGGCAAGAGCGCAGCGGCGCCCTGCCGGGACCTGAAGGCGCAAACGTGCCCCTCATCCTGAGACAGAGGGGGCGGCTTTCTCCAAGCGTTGCCCCCCCCTCACATCTTACCCTGGGCATCATCCTGGCTTCCTATCATCCACCAGGATCCTACCCCCCCTTTAAAAAAATAGAATTCCCGTTGGCGACTTTCGCGACGCAGTGCTGTTCATTTCCACGCCCCTTAAAAAAGGACCCGCGTCTAAAATAACTTCAGCGCGTTTGTCTCTCGTGCCTTTCGCCCCGTCCGGTGGGGTTTTGCCTCTCAAGAGCCGAAGGCGCCCGCGGCCACGAAGGGCGGCGGCGGTGGTTCCGTGAGGTCCGGCCGTACCTGCCTGGGCGCCGGGGATGGGGGGGGCGTGGCTAGCAGGCGCGCCACCGGCCACGTCTTTGTTCCCGAGCGCTTGGACGTCGCTGGGCTGCGGGACTCGCGGCGAGGAGGCTGGCCCGTGGCCTGGGGCGCAAGCCCCGCCGAGCACGCGCAGCTGGTGGGGGGTGGGTGGGTATCCCGGTCCAGTGGTAGAAAACAGGCGGAGTGGGTGGGCGGGGATCCAGGATTCCTGCTCTAGAGTCAGCCGTGATGGTGAGGGGGAGACCTTTCCATCCAAATAAAATTGCTAAAAAATTTTTTAAAAAAGAAACAGCGTGAGTTGTGTTCCCTCCCCCACGTTGCCTTCATTGCACCCCATTTCCAGCTGCATAGGCAGCTCTCGACCAGTGTACTGAGGCGATTCCCCATCCCTCATCAGCGTCAGGGGTGGGGAGGCCTCTCCGGCCTCATTGGCATTGAAGAAAATGACTTGAAATAATGGAACCTCAAAACAAGAGTGGTCAGAAGTTTTACTGGACCACTAAAATGCCTCCCACCCCCAAAATTGAATTTGTGAATACAGCAGGACTCTATGGCAGGCTGGGCATTGCAGAACCCTGGAAGGGGCATAGAAAAGTTTTTTTAAAAAAAATCTTGGCCTGATGTTGAGTATTCAAGATATTCTGTGGTTAGAAATGTCATGGGTGGGGGCTTGCTTGGAAGTAAGCTATGAATTAATTGAGTATGAGTTAAACATGTCTAAGATCAGGAGATAAACATAACTAGGGTTATTAGGTCTATCCTAGAATAAGCAAATCACCAGGGAGGCAAACTGGTTTTTATGAAAGCTGTTTCCTCTGCCAATTTCACTTTACTGTACCTGAGGGAACATCCAGGTCTTTCCCAAGGGTCCCTCCCGGTGCTAACAGCTGTGCAAAATTGATACCTTTATCAGCTTCAGGCAGACTGAAGTAAATGCTGTGTATAGTACTACACATGATAAACATCCACCTCTCCTAGGATTGAGAACAGAGATCACTGATTAAACTGATCTTAGCTTGTGTTCATGTCTAAAGTTTTATGTTGCTCAGAATCCTCTAGAAGACAAAACAGAAAACTAACAAAACTCCCCATAATATACAGATGGTTCACCTCTCCCACAGGCTCAAAGTCAAATCCAAAACTGCAGTGCATGTCTGTTCAGATGCAAGTCAAGCTAAGTTCAGTTAGCCTTACCCTTAGGTATGTGTGCATATATGATATTTACAGGGACTCTTCAGGGAGTTAGAACAAGTAGGTCTAAAGCTGCTGCAGCCCCAGTCATCCACAGAGGCTGAATAGCACAGTAGGTTGCAGCTAATGGAAGTCCTTCCATGGGAATCTGATGTGTCAACTCTTCCGTAAATTCCATTGATTCCGTGGGGCTACTCTAGCTGTCCCATTTTGGAGTGCTCCATCTGCTGCCTCTGCTGTCTGCAGTGCTTTCTGCTCCCCAATCCCTTGCAATGTGAGCTTTTGCCACAGGAGAGCATCTCCTACTCACTAGGAGAGACCGGTGGAAAGCCTCCTCCATTAGCCATCAACAGCAGAAGGAGGGCAAGGCAACACCGATACTACAACTATTTCAGGAAAAGTTGCAAGCTTTTGGGTTGCATTGAGCTTCTGTTAAGGGGTAGGCTATATAAAAACGTTTAGATAAATTAAAACGAAATGATTCTGAATAACAGTGTATCTTTTCCAACAGAAATAAAGAGGGAAAGGATGATACGAATATTTTTGCTGCCTTTATTCTGACAGAGAAAGGGTCTGTGCAGCTCAGAGCCTGGCAGATAAACCCATAACAGCTGTCATTCACACTTTGTTTTTGTTTTACTTCCCTTATAGGATTAACTTTTTTCAAGGAATTCTAGTTGTGTTAAGGAAATGTAGAGCCGAATTTGAATAGGTAACAATATAGTCCTGTAGACTGCTACTCAGAAGAAAGTTTCCATTGAATCCGGTGATCCTTACTCTGGTGTATTATAGGAGTACTACCCTAGTCATGTTTTAGTGCCATTGCAATCAATGGAACAAGCCAGACAGTTTCAAAGGGTCTGAAGTAGAGATGAGCATGAACCAGAAAAAAAGGATGAATCGGGATGATTCGTGGCTTGCTCATGCCTGGATTGGGGTAGGGGGTGAATGTAATGCTATAGGCTTGGGCATGCATGGACAGAGACAGCTGCCTCGGCTCAAGGCCGGCTGCTGTATCTAAAGAGGGCGATGGCAGAGGATGAAGAGGAGGAGGTGGCAGGACCAGATAGGGAGGCGATGGGGAGGGGGAGGGCAGCGGGAACGGGGCGGGGCATCTGCTTTACTGAAGCAAAATGAAGCACCAAGCAGAAAAAAGTTCAGCCCTTCATTTCGTTTTAGCAAAATGGGATCCCCAAACTGGATCACAAACCACCCCTGTTCATGAGGGTTTTTTTTGGTTCATAATTCAGTCTTTGCCCATCTCTAGTTTAAAGCATGACTGGATACCCAGAGTGGTGTAGAAGGCAAGAGTGCTAGACTAGGTGTCAAGAAGCTCGGGTTCGAAATCCCTGCTCGGCCATGGAACCTCACGGGGGTGGGTGGGTGTAGAACCAGTAAACCATTCCTGGAAAGCCCTGTTAAGTTCACTCTAAGTCAGTTCTGGCTTGAAGGCACAAACAACAGCAAAGCAGGATGAGTGCTAGACTAGGTGTCAAGAAGCTCGGGTTCGAAATCCCTGCTTGGCCATGGAACCTCATGAGGGGGTGGGTGTAGAACCAGTAAACCATTCCTGGAAAGCCCTGTTAAGTTCACTATAAGTCAGTTCTGACTTGAAGGCACAAACAACAGCAAAACAGAACTACCTTACTGTGGATCGTGTTCATACAGCCTGTTACTATCATTTGGTAGAATTGACAGGGCAGCAACCCAACAGAAGGCCTGCCTGCCTGCCTGGAAGTTTCAGTCAGGGCAAAAGGTAGTGAGTGGCCGGGATGCTAACTGGTGCAACAATAGTAAGCAGAGCTAAGGGAAATGTTTTTTTTTTCTTAGACTGCTACTGCCAAGGATTGTAGTCCATAAAACTAACTTTCCAAGTACTGGAACGGAGATCGGATTACACTAATATTGTACAACCTGCATTGGCAGCCAGCTGTCTTCTGGGCTTGGCTCAGGATCAGACCTTTGGAAACCTTAAATGGCTTAAGGCCTGGCAATCAAAGGAGCCACCTGTTTCATTAGGAACTTGCCAGATTATTATGATCTGCAGGAAAGGCCCTTCTGCTGGCAGTCTTCACAATTTAAATGTAAAAGGACTGTATTGAGCCCAGATTGCAAAACATACTTCTTCCAGAATTACACTTGCACCTATATTCTTGGCCTTCGTTAAAAGTACTAAGCCAACATCTCTTGCTTTTTATATTATTTTTATATGCTGTTGCTTTAGCCAATGTGGTATTGTGGATAAAGTGTCAGAGTAGAATTCAATAGACCTGGGTTCAAATCCTCACTGGGCCATAGAAACATATTGGGGGTTTCTGATGGTAAATCATTCCTTGAACCTCTGATGTGGCTCAAGGATCCTGTTATAGTCAACATAAGATGGAAGCTATCTGAAGGCGCCAAACAGCAAGTCAGCAGTCACATACGCAGCTCTCTCTCTCTTTTCCAATGGATTGTGCACCCAGTAGCACAACTGGGCATGTGATAGACACTCTGGAAAACGGAGAGAACTGTTTGTATGATTGCTATTCTGTGCAAGCTAAACCACACTGCTTTGGTAATTTATTGGCAAAAGAGATTGTAAACAAATATTATTAAATAAAATGTATGGGTGGACATCTCAACAGACAGACGTTTTGCCCAACTTCTAGATCTTTTCAAGAAGGACATGGATTTTGCTTATTTCTTATTCGTTAATTTTAAAGCTTACCTAAAGAAACATCTGCCAGGTAAATTCAGAAGAGTTTCTTTAGGGCCATCTTAGCATCTAGTTAACCTTGTATTCTTGTGTTGTGATTTTATCGAGTACGTGTACTCATTATCACTATTCACTAGTCTGACAGTCTGAAAGTGGCAACCTGTAGAAAACGAATCGCACAACACTACCTCCTCCCATTGTGCCCAGGGTCTCCTGTCTCTGAATTCCTCAGTTCTCGACTCACTCTTACAATTAGTCCCGTTAGCTTTATTGAAACTCAGGAAAAGAATACCTGCCAATATTGCTTCAAGCCTTTCTACAGATAACTGCTGAGATAATGTGAGGAATGCTGTCTGAAAGTATACGTACATGCAAAACACTGCTAATGTAATAATAAATGTTTTGCAGAATTGACCTGGCATTTAAACAAACACTTTGCACCCATGAGGGAGGGAGGGAAGAGCTACAAAATTGAAAACAAGTACTACCTGCCTGTCTACACCATGGCACAACATACAAATCAAGAACTGTTTCCTCCTTAGCAGTGTTGTGCTATTCATAAGTAAATTTAATTGCTTAAAAATCATATAATTAGTCAACTCATTTTTAAAAATAGAATAATAGTCCTCCATCAGATGGAGAGGATAACTTAAGTGATGTATCCTGTCCATTACACATCACTCAAATTTGTTTCCTGTGTGCTGAATTTACATTTATAGCTTTAAAAAAATGTTTGGCCGTTAAGAGCACATGTATTCGGAAGTTCTCAGTGCACTTGGTTCTATGTGACATTGTTTTCTTCTTTTTTCTTCCGTACCAGATTTCTCCAGAGTTCTCTGCCACCAGTGCCTTTGCTCATGTGGCCCAGAATGGGGCAGTGCATGTAGAGAAAGTTAATCCCACACACGAGGATATTGGATCTGGGAGAGTAATGACTGATGATGTATTTGATGAGAGCTATCGTGAGAAAAAGGGCCCAAAGCCTGCTACAGTCTATGTCTGGAGAAATATCATCCTTATGTTCCTGCTCCACGTATCTGCAGTTTATGCCCTTTGGCTCATACCTGCAACACATATTCTCACCTTAGTGTGGGGTAGGTAAACGACATGCTGATTTTATGACGACGGTATTATCTGATGACTTAGGTCTGTTCTTTAGCCTTCCATTCTTAGCTCTTCCCATCATAATTCTAACTCCCCCAGGGCCTTTGGGAGGATTAATTGCTACCTGTGAATGCACAAACAAGGCTCTCTGGGAGGCCTTCATGGGGCTTTTAATTGTTCAGAAGCATATTGCAGCAAGCATTAAGTTCTTTGTCAAGGCAACTGGAAGGCCCATCTGGATTGCTACTAGTCCCTAGTCAGTGAAATGTATTTCTTTTCACTGGACTTCTAAGGAGTATTTAAGTAGCTGATTTTTGTAAGGCATTAAACGCTTGAGTTTGTTTGTACAGTAAAAAAACTAAATCGCTGGAAGTGACCCTTTACAGTCATGGAGTCCAATGCCCTGCAGAAGCAGGCGGCATGCAGCTATGGCACCCAACGTGGACCATCCAATGTGTGCTTAAAAATTCCCAGTGAAGGAGAGTCTAGCATCTTCCATGGTTTCTCTTTTCTGAGTCCATGATGGCATAATTCTACAGGCTGCCCTGATTTTTTTTTCTTGCTGAATTAACAATGCAATATCCCTTTGGCACCATTTCAAGATAGTTAGGATGAATCTGGGTACATCGCAATGACCAGATAGGCGGGGTATAAATGGAATGAATGAATGAATGAATGAATAAATAAATACATAAATAAATAAATAAATAAATAGTACAACTCTGGAATAAGCAGTGTTATCTTGCTAGAATTTGATTGATTGATTGATTGATTGATTGTTTGTTTATTTATTTATACATACATACATACATACATACATACATACATACATACATATATACATACATACATACATACATACATACATACATACATACATACATACATACCCCGCCTATCTGGTCATTGCGACCACTCTAGAAATGGTAGGATGTGGTATGTATGGATTTTGGAGTGCCAGACTGGTCCATCTGTGGTTCATATTCAAGTAGTCTCAGCCTTTGACAATAATGTAGATGATAGAGGGGTAAACAGTGTCTTCCTGTATCTGAGTATTTCTTTTAGCAAATCACACAGGAATGTTGGAAGTCAGATCTTTATGCTACCAAGATGGAGATGTTTTTTTCTTGACATTCTCTTTTCCCCACCTTTCTTGTCTGCAGCAATGTTGTGCTTCATCTTGAGTGGTCTAGGAATAACAGCTGGAGCACATCGACTTTGGAGTCACCGGTCTTACAAAGCTACCTTGCCTCTTCGAATATTCTTGGCTGTTATCAACTCCATGGCTTTCCAGGTAGGAAAAGGTTAAGAGACGTAGCCACATTCTTGGCTGGCTGGGTGGATGCATGAGCTGCAGTTTTGCCGTGATGCAATCCCATACAGAATTTTGTATCTTACACAAAGTCTGTATTCTGCAACAACCCCCTTCAATTTGCCTAGAAACAAGTTTGCTCTCCTTTTCTAATTCCTTTTAAATGAGAATGTCAAGATCCAGATGGGAAAAAAATACAAACTGATGGCCATTCCTAGCATCAAAAATTTCAAACTACAGTGGTGCCTCGCTTAGCGATTGCTTCGTTTAACGATGTATTCGCTTAGCGATGGGTTTTTTTGAGGAATTTTCCGCATCATTTAACAATGTTCTCTATGGGCGATTTTCACTTAGCGATATCCGTTTTCGCTTATTTAAAAGTGTCTTAACATGTTTGAAACCTGTTTTAAATGCTTGGAATCGTTAGTGCACCTTGTAGAACATTTACAAACTTAATTTGGCTTTGTTCTGAGTCTTCGTTAAATTTTGGTGAACTTTCCCCCCATTGGAATGCATTGAACTGTCCAGAGCTCTTTTATGGCTTTCATGTTCACCTGTACATTTTAAAACTCTCCAGTATATTCTTTAAATGTTCACATGTAACAGTGATGAGTTTCTGGATTTGGTGTGTGTGTGTATATATATGTATACATATATATAAGGCCTCCTTCATAATCTTTTCCTGTTCTCCCCCTACCCTTTAAAACAACAATAGTAAAATGAAATAATTTGCTATGCCTTGTCAAAAGTAATATATACTTTCAGGTGAAAATAAAATACATATCGGCATTTCCATGTACAGTGGTGCCTAGCTTGACGAGGATAATCCGTTCCAGCAAAATCGCTGTAGAACGAAATCGCCGTCAAGCGAAAGTAAAAAAAACCATTGAAATGCATTGAAAACCGGTTCAATGCGTTCCAATGGGCGAAATACCTCAGCGTCCAGCGAAGATCCTCCATAGAGCGGCCATTTTCCGGTGCCTATATAGCGAGGAATTCTTCCTAAAACATAGCGGGGAGCCATTTTGCACAGCGGGCGGCCATTTTGAAAACCCGACAATCAGCTGTTTTGATCATCGTTAAGCGAAAAATCGGTTCCCCAAGCAGGGAACCGATTGTTGTTAAATGAAAAACCCCATACAAACATTGTTTTGCGATCGCTATGCTCATTGTTAAGCGATTTCCTCGTCTAACAAGGTAATCGTCAAGTGGGGCACCACTGCATTAACTTTGTTTGACAACATGTGGTATTGACTGGGTCAAGATCAGCTTTCAAGCCCCAATCTGCCGTAAAGTCTCTATTGGTCCAGGCAGCCTTTCCAACCTTGGGTTGCTAGATATTGTTTTACTGCAACCCACCTCATTCCTGACCATTAGACATGCTGAGTATAATGGGAGCTATAATCCAAAATCAGGTGGGGCCTGAAATTTGGAAGAGTATAAGGTATGTTGCTGTCCATTGCCACATCAGCCCAGCTTCCCTTTCCATGAAATGTGAATTAAATCTGCCTGAGAGTACTGTGTTCAGGATTAATGAGGAAAGGAAGTATTTAAATATTTGCTTTTTCTTAGGGATAGGCTATAAGCCCAAAAAAAGCATCCTAAAGACATCGGAAAATTGCTAATACGTATATTTGTCTTTTTGTTTCATTTAGAATGATATTTATGAGTGGGCTAGAGACCATCGTGGCCACCACAAATTCTCTGAAACAGATGCAGATCCTCACAATGCAAGTCGAGGCTTTTTCTTTTCTCATATCGGCTGGCTGCTCGTGCGAAAACACCCTGATGTCATAGAGAAAGGAAAGAAGCTGGACCTCTCTGACCTGGAGGCTGACAAAGTTGTGATGTTCCAGAGGAGGTAAGCGAAGGGGTTCCTGCTGACCTGGGAGCTGCAGAAGACAGTAGCCCCTGGGAAGAACATTCTGCTCTTATTAAACAGAGGTGCCTTCGTGTCTTCTTTTTCCTACCAGCAGCATTAAGCAACCACCATTTCAACTAATAATAAATGAATCCAGTTTATTATTAAACCAGAAAAAATGGATATTGGTAGGAATGAGACTGAAGGATACACTTTATTTTCCAAACCATTTGTAATGGTAGAGTTGTAGTGACCTTGTTAACCTCATCCTATGCCATCCCCAACTAGAGCCCCTGGTTTCGATTCCCCCCTTGTGTTCTAGAAAAGAAATGGAAGTTTACTAATGTTTAAAATCTCCCCTAAGTTCTCATAACTCATGCTACATTCCAGCTTTGATTCAAGATTTTGAATACTCCATTGGTTTACGCTGAAACTTACTCAATTCCATCACTATCCCAAGTACTTGTTATAAAGAGAAAAAAGCAGCAGAACATTTGAGAGAGTACTGAAAGTTCAGATGCTAAAATCATAGAATTCTAATGTGATTTCTACACACCCACCTACCCAACAACTTTGTTAAATACAGTGCTTTTCCTTCTTTCTTTCCAGATATTACAAGCTATCTCTGTTGATCATGTGCTTCTTTGTACCTTCCATTGTGCCTTGGTATTTCTGGGGAGAATCCTTATACAACAGCTTCTTCATAGCTGCCATCCTCCGTTATGCCTTGATCCTCAATGCTACCTGGCTAGTGAACAGTGCAGCCCACATGTATGGCAACCGGCCGTATGATCGGAACATTAACCCCAGGGAAAACCACTTTGTTGTATTTGGAGCCTTAGGTAGGTAAACAATTGGGGCAGGGGAGTGTGGCCACTATTTTTTTCCTGTCATCGTATCTACCAAAAATTCAGGTAGACTTGGGAGGGAGGGAAGGGAATTAGCATTTACCTCTTATTCTTGCTTCATTTCTGGTTCCATCTTCAGATCAAAGCAGAATTGCATGAGATTGCCCCTCACCCTTTTCCTGGCCTCCCTTTTATTAGTAGTCTACACTGTGCCCTCTCCTTACTCACTCCCTTTTATTAGTAGTCTACACTGTGCCCTCTCCTCACTTCACTTTCCTTACTCGTGAGTACCTAGCCCATTGCCCTTTCTTTGCTCACATGTAGCCAGAGCTTCTTGGAAGAGCATACATTCATCTCCATTTTCTTTTTGAAGAGTCTCTTCTAGTGATATGATGTGATAAAACCTTATGGGAACCAGAGCTCACAAATTAGGATTGAGTATTACCCTGTTTCCCCCAAAATAAGATCTAACCTGAAAATAAGCCTTAGTATGATTTTTCAGGATGCTCGTAATATAAGCCCTACCCCCAAAATAATCCCCAGTTAAGTGAAACCGCACCCTCCACCATTGTGCAGCAACCAGAAGAAGATAACATGACTGTATTTGAGTAAATGTAGATTGTTTTACATTAAAAAAATAAAACATCCCCTGAAAATAAGCCCTAATGTGTGTTTTTGGAGCAAAAATTGATATAAGACCCTGCCTTATTTTCGGGGAAACACGGTAGAAGCCACTGTTCACTTCTAGTTAAAATTAGAATCCAAGCTGAAGAAGCCCTGCCTTATTTTCGGGGAAATATGGTAGAAGCCACCGTTCATTTCTAGATAAAATTAGAATCCAAGCTGAAGATGAATTTGAGGGTTACTCTCAGGTGGGATTGGCAGGAGCAGTGGTCCTGTTTTGGGTCTATGACATGTTGCTTCTGATGAAATTCCCTATACTACATAGTTATAATGTGCCAGAGTCCGAGTCTCCGGTGTATCTGGCTGCCATATCCCAAGCATGAGAAAAAGAGGGAGAAATAAAGAGTCTTTCTCTTCATTCTGGCTAGAGTGGAGGAAGCACTGGTAAAAGTATTTCCAGTTCCTGTTTAGCTGGAGTTTGGTGACTTTCTGAAACTGGTTAGTTTGAAAATAAGTAGAGTTTTTCACAATGCTATTGCAGGAAGCTGGATAGCTCAGTGGTTTAGATTCCTGGCTGTGGAGCCTGAGGTTGGGAATTCAATTCCCCATTGTGCCTCCTTGACAGGTTAGATTTGATGATCCATAGGGTCCCTTCCAGCTCTGCAGTTTTAAAATGAAGAAGAAGAAGATGATGGTTGTTGTTATTCTGAATAATCTAGCTTCAAATCCGCTGAATATTGTTTTGTACTGATTTCTGAAAAAGTTGAATTCTCTTAAAAGGTAACTACACCAAATTAAAACAGTTTGCTTGCATGCAAACACTACAAATAAAAGTGTGTTAAACTAAAGGCAGGATCAGGTTAAATAAATAAAACTTTTTTTTTTTTTGAGGCTAAGAGGTAAGGACCTAGTCTCCTGCACCCTCGCCTACTTTGTTAGTATAAGAAGAGAAGGCTCTTGACTCAGGCTAGGGGAAATATGTTTTTCCTTATTTTTTCTTGTTTATGTCAGAAGGTGACTCCACATGAGCTACAAGTTGCATCACATGTTGCTGTATTGAGTGACAGTGCATAAAGCTATGAGAACAATCCCTGGTGTCTCTCTCTCCCCCCCACACACACATTTTTGAGTTCCTCTTACTGAATCATAAAGGGTGTTGTTCTGTGTGTGCCCTTTTCTTTTTTACTTGTTCACCTCTGGAGCCAATGGACTTGACTGGTGTTTTGGGCAGAGAGGCAGGATATAAAATAACTAAAACAAAATAAACATTTCCCCCCTTCTTTACTGAGATAGACCTGAATTTTCATTTTAGTAAATGGAAGGCTTTGATTGCTTTTGAGGAGGCTTTTCTAGCCATATTCTGTTAACTTCAGTCTGTCGAAGCCTTAACTTTTTTTGACTCTGCAATTACAATTACTATTGAAATTTTAAAAAGGTAAGAGAATGCAGGAGTATACACTGTAGCACCATAACCTCCCCATATTGCTAAGCTTTGTTTAAGACAGCTGTCTCCAATATCTGCCTGTTCTTCAGTTATGATGATCCTAAGCTTGTGTATGCAGGAGTGAAAGCTATTGACTCCAGTGCAGCTTGCTTCTGAATAAGTCTGTATAGGATTGTAGCCCTTAAAAATGACTGCTCCCTCTGTAGCAAGCATATCCCTATGGTGCCTTCTTCCATCTGGAAAATTGCACAAGGGAACCATCAAGTGTAAGGCACTTGCCCATCTCTAACAGTATCTGAGGCTGAGAGATATGCTGAAGAACTACAAAGGGCCACTGTGATTTGAAGGCGAGGTGCCCTGGTTTCAGATCAGCATGGTTCCCTGGCTATTAGAGGTGCTGATGAGAATTAAATGTTTTCCAAAATCTAACTGATAGTTAAAATGTTTCTAGATGTGACATTGTCTCTTAACTATTTCTCGTCCTGTTTCTTTGTCTCTAGGTGAAGGCTTCCACAACTATCACCATACTTTCCCTTTTGATTACTCAACCAGTGAGTTTGGCTTAAAGTGGAACTTCACTACAGCTTTCATTGATTTAATGTGCTACCTTGGCTTGGCCAGCGACCCTAAGAGAGTAGCCAAGGAGACCATTTTGGCCCGGAAAATGCGGACTGGTGATGGTAGTCACAAGACTGGCTGAAGGTCTGGTTCCTTTCCCCACAAGCCCCAGTTCAAAGGTTGCTTTCCCCTTCCTCTTCGTCTTTCAAACAACCTGTGCATACATTTAACAACCAGTCTACTAACTAATAAGCAATGCTTCCAGGATGCTCAAAAGTATGACTAACCTATTTCAGTACAGTGTTTGAAACAACGTATTTAAGGCTGGTAACTTTCCCTTGACTCTTTGGGCACAAGGGGGTTGCCTGTCCTTCTATTTTGTTGCTCCATGGCAAGGTCTCTTTACCGTCTTCTCTGTGCTCTCTTTTCTCTTTCTCTCCCTCATGTTAGAAGCCAGTAGAACATCTCCACCTGTTGGCTTCCCTGGAAACAATTAAGAAGGACTGAGCCGACAGGGTTACACCAAAGTAGGAAATCTTTTTCCCAGGAAGAGCAGAAACTCATATTTTGCTAATTAGTAACCCGTTCTGTTTCCTGGCTCTTGAAGTTAGTAGTGCCTTTGATGAAAAAGCAGAGGCGCTGCCCTATCTGCTTTTTCTTGGAGAAGGCTTCTTAGACCAAGGGTTTCAATAACTGTGGGAGACTAAGAAAGAGGTGGGGATGGGAATGATAAAAAGATTAGGAGTGGAAAGGGGAAGAAGATCTTTTTGGAAGGGTGGCAAACTACGTTCCTGGTTAGACTCAGAATTAAGAGTTGGTTAAACAAATAATAACGAACCAGAACAGCTTTCTATTCTATCTCCATTTGTGGTCTAATGTCCCGCCTGCTCTTTTCCTGCAGTTAGGCGCTGACCAGAAGCAAGAGGTCTGTGAAGGGTTCTGCAGGCTTGTACAGGCTAAGTTAGGCGAAGGGATTGGGTGCTTGATGGCATCCGAACCAGATTTGGTGGAGAATGTATTTAGAATGAAAAAGGGAAACTGTCGTGTTTGGAAGGTAAAAACAGAGGCCCACTCCTCTCTTCCCTCTCCCCTTTCTTCCTCGACCTTACCCCCATACTCCTGAGTGATTTCTCGCCTTTTATCACCAGTCAAGTTGCTGACTTTCTTCTAACTGTTATGAAGACCTCCCCTCCCCCCCTCCCCCTATCCTAAACCCTCTATAAATCTCTTTGAACCTAGCCTACTACAATCCCAACCTCACCCTTCCCCCCACCCAGTATTGGAATGTAACTATCCTGTATACTCCCTGTACCCTGTAATGCCAATAAAGGTTTCTGTATGTATGTAGGTAGGTAAAAACAGATGCGTCAAAGGGGTTGTTTCAAAGAGGAAGCAGGAAGTACTGGAATGGTTTGAACCAAAGCTGTGTGACGGACTCAGGCTGCTTTATGGGCTGGAGGAATGGATGGCTCTTGAGATAAAGAATGGTATGTTTGATGGTTTATATATATAATAACAGGTCCATCCCATTCAGCCCATATGGCAGTTGAAGTCCACACGGATCCCCCCCAGAGGTTAATGGAGCCAAGAAGAAGCTACGTTTCCCTTTGGGGGAGAGCGTGATCATGTTCCTGAAAGTTCGAGGCAGTAGTGATGTCTACCTTCTGTTTTACTCCTGTAATTATCAGCTTTCAAGACATCCGCTTTTCACTTACACATTATTTTAATTTTAGCAGCCTTTCTCATCCTAAAAAATGCAGAGAGAGGAAATGGGGCTGGAGTGAGGCCTTTTTGGGGGGGGGGTAAGAGAGCTGTTCAGAGGAGAGGGGAGTTGGCTGTCGTGGCATGCTAGCAATCATCCAAAGTACTGTAGTTGCTTCCAAATAGGAGAGCAGAACCTCCTTTTGTGCTCTTCTTTTTAACAGTGTGGCAAAGGTTACAGTGTTCACATACTTGATTTGATTGTTTCTGCATTTGCCATGAAGGAGTGACAAGAGCACTTAAACATGGCAAAAGTGTTCACCTGATGTAATGAGAGACACGGCTTTTGGACAGTAGGAAGGGAATCTGGGCAGGTGATATTGGCTTGCTTTAAAAGTTAAAGTTACATAACAGGATTCCTTTCCCTCCCCCCTCCCCGTCACCCCTGCTTGTTACACTAGGTAGCAGAAGCTGTGCCTGCAAAAAGCAAAGCAAAACCCTTCTGAGCATCTTAGCTTTGCTAATAAGCAGAATATTTCAAACAATATAAAATGTTAGCTCAATTCTAACCTGTTTGTTCTAACAAAATGTCAGCAGAGGAGAAGCCAGTTCTTGCTCTTGGTCCTCCACTGCTCGTTCTGGCACAAGTTGTCCAAACAGGTGCCCTATTCTCTCCCAGACAGCAGCAGCAGCAGCGCAACCCATCACTGAAATACTAGCACAGCCTTGTCCATACCTACTAAAAACTGGGGAAGAATCCTATGCCAACTAAGTCCCATTAATGCCCCATTTCCTGCTGATGGCATAATGGGATTATTGGATCATTCCGCTCTACCCACCTTTCAGTTTCTTCAAATTTCAATTGCTCATCGATTAAGCACTTGCGCTGAGCAGCGGCAACAACAAAATCAAAATCTAATCCATCAGAAAGTAAAACAAAGAAAAAAACATTAAGGAGTCAAATCCAGATTAAAAACCAATGTAAGATCACTCCTATGCTCTAAAAGCTGGTTGTGCTGGGTTATCCAGTCAGGTTTTGAGGTCTACTTCTGAGTAGGAATCTTGTGCATTTCTACTCGAAAGTAAATAATACTGTGTTCAGTGCAAGGATAACTTGCAAGGCAGATGATGGAGTGCCTCACTCACAAATGCAACAAGTAATGTTGGCTCATGGGGAAGCAGCCCCAGCCCCAGTCACAACTTGCCTATATGGCTCCTTGGCATTCCCAGATACTGGTATTGAAGATTTCAGTTCAAAGGACTCTGTGGACCAAAACCAGATTTTCTTATCTCTTTCAGCCAGCCTACCTTTTTCCATGGTAGCATTCATGCTACTTGCATGCAGAGTGGAAAGCTTAGTGCAGGATTTCTCTTTGTCTAAGGTAAAGGTAAAGGTTCCCCTTGACATTCAGTCCACTCGTGTCTGACTCTAGGGGGCGGTGCTCATCCCCGTTTCCAAGCCGTAGAGCCAGCGTTTGTCCGTAGACAGTTTCTGTGGTCACGTGGCCAGCGCGACTAGCCACGGAACGCCGTTACCTTCCTACCGTGGTGGTACCTATTTATCTACTCGCATTTTCACATGCTTTCGAACTGCTAAGTTCTCTTTGTCTACTTGCTCCAATTCTTCAGTCCCCATCAACATTACAGCCTCTTGTCCACCCTGCTTGTTGCACTTCATAAACAGCTAAGAGGGAGCATGAGCGGGCTGCAAGGGTACAGGAAAGGAAAAGCGAACAAGGATTAGAGCAGTTTCTTCATGAGGACTAGGGACAGTGGCTGCAGCCTCTAAGTTTTGAAAGAGATATTTGTGGTCTTGGGGAGTATACAATAGTGCTCCAACTGTTAAATGCTAGTTATACCACTTCAGGCACTTCAGTTTTTGGAGAGCTGTACAAGGAAGAGCTGAGAACCCTTACACACCTTACTTTCCCCACTTCATCAGTTTGGTATGGTAGAGGCTGTGACTTCAGGCAGATTTCAGTTTCCTACAAACGCTTCATATTTCCTTTTCTTTGCTTAAATACCTAACTGGAGAGCCACATGAGGTGCTAAATAAGTAGGGGATGTTTTGCGGAGGGCCTGAGTCCTCTACACACACTACATTTTTAGGTGTGCAGTTAATGCTAAACATGTGAAGTACAATTATAACATAGAGTTTTTCTTGTACATAGACTCGACAAAGGTCCAGAACTGGCTAAAAATTCAGTCTGCCCTTCATGGTGGGCTAGAATGTGTTGCTGAATTGCAGGTTTAAGCATTTCTCAGTCTCACAAATACCATTACGGAAAGAGCTGCAGTTTTTGTCCTCCTTCCACGTGTTTGCACTGAATCTGACATAGGCACTGGTGGAATGCCTGCTCATAGTTCCAAATTTATATCTTATCTGTTGCAAGGAGCCTGGCTATGCCTATACACGGTCTTGCCAGGTTGTAAATGTCAGAGGTATGGGGGGAAAAGATCCCTTATCCAAGAAATTAGGGCCAGCAAATAAAAGACATATTTTAGTAACCTTTATGATTGGCTAGCTGTACAGCATGTTTTTTTGCTCACACGCGTCCCAGATTGACACTGCTAATTCAGGTGTTAAACTTGTAAGCTCCACATGGGTTGTGTGAATCTAAATATTTGGATGCAGGGTGAAAATATAATCAATGATAAGTAACCAAACCAGATGCTTTTTGATAACTGAACAATTTTGATGTGCCTTAAGCTTTTGTTTAACACACATAGGAGTATAAAGAGTTCTTTGCAGTATTTTGTTTTCATCTGTTCTAAATTATTTCTGAAAAACCTTTAAAGGGGTATTTTTATATTGATGAGTCACCTATGTTAAATTGTGGGTACAGGGGTTTGTGTGTGTATGCATGTGCATGCATGTTTAAATGTATTTAGTTTCCAGTTAGGATGGCTTGACCATTAAAACAGAGAGATGTTTAGGTGTTTTTTTTTTAGTATGTAGTACAGATTACATTTCTGATAGGCATTTCCCCTTCCCTGGGTGCTTCCAGATGAGGCTTTTTTTTTTATGCAGTGGCCCTGCCACATTCACAGAATTTTTTAAAGGGAGAACCCAGAGAGCATCCTGAATCTTCTGTGCTGTCTCATACTGCTAATTCTGTCCTTTTATTTCCAATAACTAACTTAATAAATAAACCTATTAAGAAGGAAAAGACAATAATTACACAGCGTTTTTTTCCACTGCTAGCGCTCTCAGAGTTATCTGTCTGGAAGCATTCTCTGTGTTTTGCTGGAATGCTATGGATGTTAATTAGAGTGTAATTAGAGCAGCAAGGTGGATGTTGGGTATCTAGGCTGCTGTCCCTAGCTGCTGCTAAGACTCATTAGATGGAATCCTGTTGCTCTGTTACACAGGTAGAAGGAAAAAAGTGTAACATTCAGTCATTCCTAGCCAGGAAGTAACAGGTCCGCACTGGTATTCTTGAAGGCCTTTGCCTGATGGCTTGGCGTGTGCTTGAGAAATACCAGTGGGAGAGTAGTTAAAGCCAGCTAGGGAAAACTTGATGTTAAACCTTCTACCTTCTGCACATGTAACAAAGCAACAGCCTTTCAGTCTCTGTGAGGACAACAAGCGAGTTCTTTCTCTCCTCTTCTACTGATATTTCTTTATACGTAAAAGGGCTGAAGCCCTCACACTTTAAAATAGATATTCATGTGGTTTAATTTTTAAATAAACTAATGCCCCAAGATGTATGCCACTCTGTTGATGATTTGGTACTAAATTGGCTGACATCTTTGTCCTTCAGCTTAACTGTCTGGAGAGTCAAGTAGCTGTGACTTGACTTCTCGCCAGCTGTCAAACCGCACCAAGCAAAAGAGTTTCTTGCCTTTATTTGAATCTGGAAAACCAAATGTCTGAATAGTAGAGACTGTGGAGGTTCATGCGAAGTGTTTAAGCCTTGATGCTCTTGAAGTGTGTGTAGGATCATTGTTTGCTTTTCTATTCCTAATAATTTGCATATTACATACTGAAAAACGATTCCTTCTAATATGGAATTGAGTGTCTGGTTTATGTTGATCTGAACTCTTGTTTGGGTTGTTGTTGTTGTTGTTGTTTATAATAAAACTGTTGATTTTTCAAATTTGATGGGCTTCCGGTTTATTTCTTTTGCTGACATCACTGGACATATGATGAGACCTCTAACCTAACCTTGAGAATTGCAATCATATATCCTGAGGAGGCTGTGAATTCCCAGATCGTGTCTTGCTTCCCTTTCCAGAAATTTTGTCTTGGCTCTTTCCTTTGAACAAGAAAGTCCTATGATGCTGTGATGTTTGTGTAAAAACTTCTGTGAGGTACCCATTTAGAGGCTGAGAAAGACTAGAAAAGCCACAGGTGGCAGTGAAGTTGGGCTGAGCTCCATCCTGAATCAATATCTTCAGATCTCACAGGATGCTTCTACCCTTCTAGCCTTCTTTTCCCACATAAGGCCGCCATTTCCAAAACCCTACTGTATTTAGGCCCCATTTC